TAGAGAATGGAAGGGAGAAGAGCATGAGAGAGACACATTGATTGGTTGCCTCCTGCATGCACCCTGATCAGGGCCAGGGATTGAAGCTGTAACCATGGTATGTGCCCTTGACTGGAACCGAACCTGGGACCCTTTAGTCTGTGTGCTGATGCTCTATCTACTGAGTCAAACCAGCCAGGATGAGATACTTTTATAGTGTATAATGTATTATGTATTCTCATCTTTTATTGACCAATGGGGGTGACTTAAATAAATTATGGAACATCCATACAATGTAATACTATACAGACACTAAAATGATGGGGTACAAAAATATAGGGGGGGCAAAAGTAGGCTTACAGTTGTGAGTAGGCGAAAGAAAGTTTAATCTTGTTTTATTATTTATTAGTTATTATATTAGTTTCCATATAAACAACTGTAAATCTACTTTTGCCACATCCTGTATTGATTGGCCTGGAAGAACATCACTATAAATAAATCTATATTACATGTTTACATATATATAAACATGTAAATATATATGTATGTACATACACACAACATTGTAAAAGACTAAAAATAAGGAATACATTGTCCATTCAATAACAATTTTCAGAAAGGGCATAATAGAAATATAAAATATATAAGTAATAAAAAATGACAGAAATAAGGTAAAAATGTAAGTTATAATAAAAATAAGTAAACTCTCATGTAAGGTAAAAATATACAATCCAACTCCATGGTATTTATAAGAAACAACTATAATACAGTGACATGTAAGAAGCTTATAAAAAGACCAGGGAAAAGAACATTTGACAAACACGAAAAAGAAAGTAGGGTTATACTATAAATAAAAAAAAGAATTTAAGAAGAAAAGGCATTAATAGGAGAAAGTGGGTCACTTCCTATCAGCGGTTCTCAACCTGTGGGTCGCGACCCCTTTAGGGGTCGAACGACCCTTTCACAGGGGTCGCCTAAGACCATCGGAAAACACATATATAATTACATATTGTTTTTGTGATTAATCACTATGCTTTAATTATGTTCAATTTGTAACAATGAAATTGGGGGTCACCACAACATGAGGAGCTGTATTAAAGGGTCGCGGCGTTAGGAAGGTTGAGAACCACTGCTTTATATTGATAAAGGCAGTGATTCACAACAAAGATTAAATTCTTATGAAACTTTAGGTGCCAAATAGAATTGCATTCAAGTATAAAAATAAGACATTTGAGGCTCCAAAATATGACATTGATAAAAATACTGTGCAAGGGAGACTTTAACATACCCTTATTCTTTGGCAGATCAATGAGGCAAAGTATAAACAAGAATATATTACATGTATTTTAACAGATGTAAATTAAACTTTGAACCCTATAAACACAGATTCCATCTTTTTTAGTGCCCATGAAGCACTAGCAAAAACTGATTAGCCCATCAAATTTTCTATGTAGAAATTATAGCACCTTCATGTAGGCTATTTTGCAACCCTTATCAAAAGACTTAAGAAAATACATGATCATTAATTTAGTAATTCCCATTTTATGAAAATTTATCCTGAATAAATCATCAAGGAAATGCAAAAAAAATTGAACTATGATGTACTTATTGCAGCAGTGTTTGTAATAGTGCAAAATTAGAAACAATATACATATCCAACAATGGGGGGAAGATCAAACAAATTATTTTACCTATGTACAGTGGAATTCTCTGTAGTCATTAACTAGTGATGCTGTAGAGGAATATTTAATGCATTAAAATAGGGAAATATTCAGGCTATATTAAGTAAAAAATCAGAATACAAAATACTACAGTCCCATCATATAGGAACCTATATGCATAGAAAAAAGCCTGGAAGGATATGCACAAACCAAAATGTTAAGAGTAGTAATCTCTAGATGGTAGAATTATGGATGATTTTTATGTTCTTTTGTGTCTTCTCTTTCTTCATCAAACAGTAATATTACAAGTACTACTTTTGTAATAAGCAATAACAAATGTTATTTTTAAAACTCTGCGAAAAATCCAGACAAGCTTTACAAAGCTAGAGACTTCGAGCTGGGTGTTCCATTTTAGAACTCATGTATCTGACTGTTAACTTTGCTTCCCTCGCCTCAGGGTGACACATCTGGAGACTACAGGAAGGTTCTGCTTATTCTCTGTGGAGGAGATGATTAAACTGAAATCCTGGGAAGATAAGAGGATTCCCAAAACCTTGATATTTTTTAACTTCATTTTTCTACACTGCTATTAGCATTATCTCAGAACACTTATTTCCAAATTAAAACGCCTACGTTTGCCTTATAGGCTATAGACTGTGTTATTATTCATCTATAATTATAACTCATGATGCTTGAAAGCTGTACTTGTATTCAAAGCTTATAAAACTTAAAAGGAGATTTAAAATTAGAAATAATAATGTGCTCCATGTTTTTAACAGATCTCTTCCTCATCTGTGTTTCACAGAAATTGGGATATATGAAATGATTTCATGTTTTCTTTTTGGTGAAAATCTATAAAAGTGGAAGACTGGAAGGCTATTCTAAAATCACTTTTCTTTCCTATTTCTAAAGTGGATAGTAATTTCTTAATTTGAAATTGTGAGCTTCTAGTTAGTAAGAATATCTGTCCAATTTCCTATTTCACATACTCATAGTTTGAAAGCACCCACAAATGTTCTTTGTTTAGGTTTTGTTGATAGCATTATTTGATCTTTACTATGTTTGATGTGAAATACTTCCTCCATCACATCTTATGTTAAGATCACTTACTCTCTCCAATTTGAAGTATACCAAAATCACCAAGTTGTCTGAACAAATTAAATTCTATATGTCTGGTTACCAAACATAAATGCTGGACATTCCACAATATTTTTGTTAATGTCTTAAGTCAGTTTGAAGATGAATGTAATGCTCTGCATTTTACTTAAATTTTTTTGTGCTAAAAATAATTTTTTAAGTCATTTTGGATTTTGTCAATTTGTATTCATTTACTTTTGCACTGTGTCTTTCAAATCTAGAATTATTTTGATTAAAAAGTTCAGTTTGTATACATCATGGAAAAATAATTTGAATAAAACATGGTGTCTTTAAGATGAGGTATACTCTTTATCCGACTTTACCACTTGTGAATTTTTTCATCCTGAAACTGGAAGATATTTTTGAAGGACTTGTGTTACTCAGTTTCTATTAAGAACTACAACATTGAGGGAAAAAAACAACATAATTAGTCTTATATACTGGTACACCTACTGCTGTAAAACTAATGTTCACATATATCAAATGGTATTCTTACTTAATGACATAAAAATAATGTACCATATTTGCCGGCGTATAAGACGATTTTTTGGCCCTGAAAAAGATGCCTCCAAGTGGGGGGTCGTCTTATACGCCCAGTCGTCTTATACGCCGGCAAATCCGGTATTTAATTTATTCTCTGAAAATGAGTGATGCTATCCATTCTAAGTGGAATACTTATCCTATCTAATAAAAGACAAAAAGGGTAATTAACCGTACCATCACTACGCTTCCCATTGGCTAATCAGGGCAATATGCAAATTAACTGCC